GTATTTGCTGTTAAATACACACTCACTGTATACAACCGTACAACCACAAATACACAGAAGTATAAATACACAAACCTGCTGAAACACAAACACACACTGGTTTTGTAACAGACTAAAGATAATCCCTGAAAGCCACATTAAGAAATCCTAATCTAATGAACAGAGGGAGCACGAAGGGGAGAAGGGAAGGGGGAGGATGACTGAAAGGAAAGAGAGAGGTATGAATGAAGTGTAGCTACTGTTGTGCTACTAACACAAATACACATGCACATATTTTTTGTCATGTTGGGAACTTTCCATTAGTGACTATAGCTTGTATACTAGGCTAATGATATTTTATTTTACCAAGATTGTAATGAAAACATTATTTACTTTATTTACTTTGTTTATGTGTTTTTATTTTCACAATGACTGTTGGCCGGTCCCTGAAATGTAGTTTTTCAGGTTTCATAATGGGGACATTTGGTCTGGAAATGTAGCAAAAACCTGACACACAGACACACAGGCATGCACAGCTGCAGACCTACATTAAAAGTGAGATTATAGTGTATTTAACAATAATATCAGAAACACAAAATGCAAAGGCACATGTCTTAAAAGCCATTAGTGTTTAAACTGCAATATAACAGAAGCAGTGGCAGATACTGTCTTCCGTATTATACATCCAAGTGAAAAGGATCATCAAAAAGAAAACACTGTAGAATGGGGACTTCCATCCACAGGTTGTTGATTGGATGGAGGCGGATCTGAATGCGAGCTTGTGATCGGTAAGGTAAAAAACGTATGCATTGATTAATCATTCATAATAAGATCAAGAATATGCACTTTGAAAATAGAGTGGATTTTTGTTTTATGCTGACTTATATATTCTGGAATCTCCTGGAGGTTCCTAAGCTAAAACTCAAAATGTATGTGTTCTGTGCATTAGTGTGTGTGTGTGTGTGTTTAGGCAAAATGTCAGTAAATCTAACCTACTTGTTTCTTGGAATCAAGCAATGTGTGTGTGGCTATGTGATGTGGTCACATCGTCCAGTACCATGGAACATGAGTCCCCTCCCTCAAGCATGCACACACACACACACACACACACATATATATATACAGGTGGGAGGAAGTACATATACAGTAGAGAAGGAAGTGAATGAGAGAATGATACAAGGTTAAAGTTCAAAAGTTTAAAGATACATTCCACTGAGGCTTATTACAAAAAAAATGTTGTAAAAAGGTTTTAATTGAGAGCTGAACTAATGGGATTACATTTGAAATTGTTAACCAAGGGTCATATTTAATCCTATCTTAATATAACGCTGTGAGTGGATTTTGTGCAGTGGTGAGGACTTATATTTTGCTCAACATCTTAACTGACATTTGTTAAAAACATGTCATTGTAGCAAAAACACACTTAATTTAATTAATTTCTTGAATATATGAAAGGAACATAACATTGCAGGTTCGATTTGCTGCTTCTTTGGCTGTTCAGTGGTGCTCTGCCGTTCACATGCACATTCTTTGTGTCAGCAACAATTTTGTCTTATGGGAATTCAGAGTGGTTCAGCTATGCATTTCGTGCATTGTGCGGGTTGTTTATAATGTAGCTCAAAGCTCTCTGGATTTACTGTGATACGGCACAGTTCTAAATATTTGTGAATGTAGCACAACAACATGAGGATTAAGTGTCAAATTGTCAGTCATCATCATTTGGTGCAGCATATGATGCTGCTTCTGTAAGAGATTTGTCTTTTATGCAAGTCCTCTCTGGCTTTTGTCATTTTCAAAATACTATAAAAATGAAGGTTCCATTCTATTGTGATGCAATAGAAGAACCATTTTATGTTCCCTAAGAACCTTTCAGTGAACAGTTCTTAAAATAACCATTTTTATAGTGTGAATGTCCATTTAATAATCAGAAGAACCTTTTTCTACTATGAAGAGGCTTTTGTGCAATAGAAAGTTTCCACAGACATCAAAGGTACTTCATGGAACCATAGATCTAAATATAAGAAAATCTAAATATATATTATTTTAATTATTAAATTAAACCATATTATATATAATATAAATGTAAGCAGTGTTTCATGAGCTAATATTCAGCCGCGGCGACGACAGAGTAACGCAAAAATAATGGCAAAAACACATCTTTTATTAAACTGTGCACGATGGTTGCATGCGCACGAAGAGTGCCAGTGTAGTCGGCTTCATTAACAAATGATTCTTATGAACCGGATCTTTTTTAGTCAAAACCACAAAGCGTGGCGCAGTTCACTAACGAATTGTTTTTACATTTGTTCATGAATCAGATAATTACTGCTTTTCAGGTAACTCATCCCGTCCGGATATGTCTGAGATTCATCGCGTAATTGTTTGGTGATCCTATTCTCCGACCGCTCGCTCCACTTTCATCATGGATATAAGCCAACAGTAACAATAACATGAAATCAATAAGATGCCAATCACGGAAACTAATAGCAGAGTTAGGTAAGAATCTAGTCGTATTGCAGTTTTCTCTATTGTTAATATAACTGATTTTAGTTGGCACTTTTTTCCCCAAACCATTCATTCAGTTTTCAAAACAAAGACACATTTCTCAAAAAGTTCAACAATGAGTAAGTTAAACATTAGATCGCAAAACTGATGACACACCAATCAGAATCTCTGCATCCTAACAACGGAGAGAGGAGAGAGCTGAGCCAATCATCTACAGGGGTTTTATACTTACACATACAGTATAATTACAGTACAGTACCACACTCAAAAAAAATGGAAATTTCACTATTCTATATGCACAGTAAACTGTCGCACATGTTGTACACCTTCAAGCGTGTGACTGTCAAATTT